GGGATTTGAAAGCTTACAGACAGCTCTGCACCTCTATTGACCTCCCCACTATCAAAACAGATTGTCTAGTCAAAAGTAGAAATGACTGTGAACTTGAGGGCTGATATTCTGTCCTTCAAGCCTTAGGAAATAACCTAAGTGGCCAGGCTGGAGGAGCATGGAAGATGGCAGATACAAAATGTGGTAATTGCAGCACTGTCTAGACAGACACTCCACTCCAGACTGTCTCCTGTGGAGTGACAGATCACTCATTTCAATGACTTGTATCTCTACTGAATTTTAATTAACAGAAGTGGGAGGAGCAGGTGGTAACTTGTTTTATAGATTCATTATAGTCCCTCGGGCTCCCTAGGCACAATTAGATATAGTTGCCAAACATTTAGGTCCTGCTTCTGACCTTTTCATCTCATTTACAAACTTGTATTTGTAGCAGGTATTTATTCACATTAAGAATATTACTTTGAAGCCAGGCATTTCAACCCCAGGAGGTGAGGACAAGTCCACCAACAGCACTTCAGTGGATGTGGTTTTTCTGCATCTAACTTGTGGGGAGATTGTCAGCTCCCTCCTGGCTCCAGCTCTCCATTTGCCTTTCCTCTCTATGAATTCAGGGATGTTACCATTCACTCTCTTGTAAATGCTATCTCACAGCTGCCCCACTCATCTGAAATTGCACAAGTTAGTTTATACACTACAATTCAAAGAGGTCTCTTCTATACTGTATTGTTTTGAACTAAGTAAGGTAGAGAACAGTTATATGAACAGCTGCAAGCCACTCACAGAGTAGTGATGCTGGGGGTCTATTTGTGTGTGAGGTGTGGAGAGATTCTTCATAGAGCCAAAATGGGGAAGGTGACCAAGGTTAGGCTCATTTTTTAATGCCTATTAGATATTTTTCCTGCATAATGGTCAGCAGCCCCTAAATTACTTGGGCTCACAATGCACTTCTGGTACACAAATATGTGCTAGAAGCTGGAGCCCTCAGATACCAACCAGACACCCATCTCTGATATGAAATCTAAACTTTAAAAACAATCTCTACTCTTTCCTGGAGTTAGGTGCCTCACAGCTTGGCTTTTCTCACAGAAACAGACATTCACCTAGCTCTGTTATAAGGCAGTAGGTGGAGATTTGTTCTTTATTTATTACCCAAATGTATATCCCATACTGCCATGAAATGTTCTGCTCACCTGCAGACTGGCATCCCTCTGATACAGTGCTCTGTTAAACATACAAGCAGCTCCAGGAGCAGATGCTGAGCATGTTCCATGTCATGCTGGGAAGCATCTCCTGGTGATCATAGTGGTGGGCTTGTGATCAAGTTCCTGCAGTAAAGGAGCAGAAGTGGGATGTAAAAACATCTCTTACCTGCATAATGAATCCCACAGACACATTGTTGAACTGACATTCTTCTCTCAAAACTTTAGGCACCAATCAGAAAAATCTGAGTTTCTTTAGGTTCCCTTGACAGTAAGCAAAATTTTAGAAATTATAGACACCTCTAGAGAATAATTCAGATTTTGGTCTTTCTGTGGTGATTACAAAGAAGCCTAGAGTGACTGCAATCATAATTACAATGTCTCTGTTAAATGCATAGGGTTAAGCAGGTGACCAGGTTTTGGTGCCTCAGAACAGTCGCTGGAAGTCTCTGTCCTTGACTTCCAGGCTGGCCTTGATCCAACAGGCAAGTTTTGAGTATGTCTGCAGGCTCTGCTGTATGCATTTCACAGCTGAAGGTGTGTTATTTTGATAACTCCATCAGAGCTACATTGCTGAACTGTTCTAGAGACTGAGGAGCCCTGCATTAAGAGGTTATTAGACCCTGACTCCTTGTTATTGCACAGAAATGATGCAATGTAGAATTTAGGGAACAGTAATGGGTGGAGCAGTAAGACCTGTTATGATTTAACCTTTTATCATCAGCCGTAAATCCCCTTGTATGCATGTGTTTTATAAGAACTGGGCAGGACAGTGTCAAAGGATGTTGAAACAGGATTTTACAGTAGCTAATAGATACCATTTGCTGTAAAGGAGACCAACAAAGGCTGTGAGCTGAAAAAAACATCTCTCAGTCCACACAAAAAATGTTTAAATTGTAATCACCCCAGTGAAAACTTTAGTAGAATGCAACTGTGACTCTATTTCAAAGGAAGCCATTTGTGGGCTAGATCATGCTGGGTGCTGCATTATCTAATGGCTTGCACGGTCAGGTTTTCAAGGCTTAAAGTGTTTTCCATCCTGTTAGGATAAATAGGGATTGGCAGGTTTCTTTGAATACATTGGAGGCATTAGAGCTATCATAACTAAAGCTTTCTGTAAATATAAAGAAACTTTGGAGCTGGCATATGGAAGTAAAGGAAAAATACGATTCAGAAGTAATAAAACTTCTCTCATCTGTTAGATGATTTGACTAACATCTGGGGAGGCTGCACAATCATTATCAGAGTAGAAATATTACTTCAAACCTCTTAGTCCCACAGAATTTTAACAGAAATATGGAAGCTGATAATGACAAGAACAAAAGAAAATATAAAAGATGTTTTTGGAACAGGGTAAGTGAGAAACTCTGACAAACACAAATCTGGTCTTCCAACCCTCACAATAATCCGTATAATTTGTTAACTTTAAAGGGCTCCTGACAACATTAATTTCACATGCTTTATCTGCAGTGAGCTCATCATAACTGCACTGACTTTGTCAAGAGGTGTCTGGGCCATTTTTATTCCTCACTCAAGGATTTTAGTTCTGCAGTCTTGCCTTCACCCAGAGCCTACTCCGCATCCTTAGAGCAGCACTGGGGCAGGTGGTGCAGGCAGACACTGAGCTGTCTGTTTTAACCACACAGACTGTCACTGCTCAAAACACATCCAGAAAAATCACAATATTGAAAACACCGCTGCAGGAATGTAGGAATGTTGTCCCCACGATGAGGTATGGGAGGAAACGCCCACTGCAGCGACTGTGTGAACACACCTCACTCTGTTAGGCAGGAGCATGTAGAGCAGTCCCCCCCTTCATTTCAGGCAAGCTAGCAGTGGGGAAAAAAGGTTGTCAAAAGCTGGTAAAATACCTTGGTACTTGAATTTCAGCTGAAAGGGAATGAATCCTGCTCCTCATCAGGGAAATTCAGTACTAGAGGAAATGAAGGTGCTGCTTAATAAATGCTGTGTTGCATAAAGACCGCGGTTCAGATTTTATTTAAACATATGCTTGATCTTCATTTCAGGGCTGCTTTATGTGGTGTTGCCTGCCAAGGCTGCTGAACATGCTTGAGGGATTGCAGGAAGGACTGCCCACAGGTGCCGAGAGCTGGCCAAACAGTCAGAAGAAAAACCGAAGAAATGGGAGAAGTCCATCACAACAGAAACTCCTGCTGCAGAAGACCCTGCTGTGACCCCACAGGCTCATCTTGACCACTGCAGTTAATGACCTGAGCAGTTTTCTAGGGCACGTAGCTCCAGGTACTGGCCTAGACTGACATGTAGCACTATTTTTAGGTACAATCTAACCACGGGTGAGTAAGCCTGAAATGCAGTGTCTTTTCACTGTGTAGTCAGAGTTTTTCTGTTAAATGGATACTGTAAAGGTACCAGCAAATGCTTCAGGTTATGTACCAGCACCAATAAACAGCTATGGCTGCATTTTACACAGACTGTTCTGGTGTTTGGAAGATTTGCACAGGTAAAAATAGCAGTGGAGTTTGAAAGATGAATTTTTGCTCGGTAAAGGCAAACTTCATGAAGAGGCAAGTGCTTGTGCAAAGTAACTACTTAATACACAGCTGTTTTAAATTCATCAGAGAATATCACTGCCCTAGATAAGAGGCTTGCTCTACCCCTGCTGTATTCCAGTGCTTTTGAGCTTGAGAAAAACTTATTTTGAAGATTCAGACTGAATCTGCAAAAATTGTATCTCAGACTTCCAGAAGCTGCTAGTCTGACAAAACACAAATTTCTAAGGTCACCTGAAAGAAAGGCTGATGTGGAGTAGAGCAGGTGCAGACAGCCAGTGAGGTAAAACAAGCCAGATGCAAAGCTAGCAGGCAAACAAGAAGGTAAGACCATATTTTTCATGTGACCCTACAGAGACTTGTTTAGCAGTTTGAGCCTATGCCAAATAGTTCACTGCACCTCTAAAAATTGCTTTACTTTAAGAGAGTAATCTGAAAGATCCCTGGACTGCAGTCAACTTAATATCACACATATCTGCATCTTCAAAGCATTCTCTTTGGCTCAACATAGCAATAGAATCATAACTATTAGTGGTTATTTCAACCTCGAGGTAATTTGATGCCTTGCTACCCCACCCACTAAGCAAATAAACTTACTTTGATGTCCCTTTAATGTGTCACAGAAGAGAAAAATAAAGGCCTTGTACTTAACAGTGTGAAAGAGATTATTCTAAAGATCATAATTTTCAAATGAATACCAGGACTAAATGTTGTATTTGTAGTCCATCCTTTCAGCTCCCTGAAATCCAGCAACTCTGATGACAGGGGTGATTTGTCAAGGCATTTCCCTACAAAAAGGGCAATACTGTTTATTCCAAAATCAGTCAGTTATTCCGAAGATATTTATTAGGATGGACTGGATCATGGTGTCCAAGTATCCTGCAAGGCTCTGACCCAATTCACTTCAACATCTATGGAGTTACATGAGAGGTGAGGAGTTGCAACTCACTGGACACTGGAAAAGCAGTGCCAAAGGCATGCAATAATAACTGAGACTACTGCTCTCTATATCAGACTATTTTGCAACTCGGTTCCATTCTTACTCTACCTGTTGCTTAAAGTATACCCTAGTTCTGTTCTAAGCTCCACAAGCTGCTGGGCAGACACTGAGCAGGAAACCCCACTTTTCAGAGCACTTGTTCCTCAGCCTAAGTATTTCAATCCTGCCACTAATTCCAGGGCCACTCATCCCTGTATTAGGAGGTGGAACTCAACCTGACAACTAGGCCCTTTGCTATTTTAATGGTAAGTAATGACACTAAGGTAGATATATGGACTATAGGAACACTTTAATGTTTATTCAGGCAAAATATCACAGCAGATATAATAACTCTAGAGTAAACTGTAGATAGCAACATGTGCTCTCACTGGAATTCAAACACAGTAATCCTTTTATTGTCTTAATCCATAAATTTTAATGCATATGAGAAAGTAGTCCTTGCATGTCAATCTCAAATCTCATCTTTCACATTCATAGAGATACTAGATATATTTTAAAGTTAAATAACAAAAATGTAGCTTAGTATCCTTTGTTTATTCCTAAGACTATGTGGATTATACATAGTGTTGGAAAAAGCTTATTCTAAAAACTTGTTTAAATAAAGATCAATTTGCAAATTGTACCGATGACTTTGTACAGACATAATAATGTACATAGACATGTAAAAAATAGAAAACACACAGGAAAATATACACTTAATACATTTGAAAAATATTAAAATTTGGAAAACATTAAGACACCTGGGTGTACAGCACATGTAAACCATTTTGTGGTGAAACCAGAACTGATGAATTGCACATTCACTGATATCCACTACAGTATAACAAAGTCAGCTCTTTCCTTTTCATAACTAAGTTGATGCTTCAGCAATAGGTTTTGGCTAAAAAAACCCCACAAAAACCCAGTTAATGCCTTAAAAACGTTTATGTACAGAACAAGAACAGTAACAGCATGTGGATTTAAATGAGCTACAAAAAAAAAAATCTTATCAGAAGCAGAACTGTAATACAGCTATCATCGATCATCTTAATACCAAAGGCATCTGGCTGTATTTTGCATCTACTAATATCAATGATGATATTCTATCCTTCAGCTTTATGGTTGTGCAGCCCTGGATTTCCAGACCCAAGAGAATATATTACATCATTTGCATATAATTACATTCTTTAGATAATCATATTGCTCAAAACCAAATGCTGATATTTTCAGTATTTACACACAGCTCCTGACCCATCTTTCATGTAGATCTCCATGCCAGTGAAAACCTTACATTGAAATTTGGGGATATTTTTTGTAAGCAATCAGCAGCATATTATAAAGAAACAGATATAATCATACCATCTCACTAATTTTGTCGTTATCTAAATTAGAAGGTTTTTCAATATAGTGAAAGGTGTCTTAAATCAGGAATGCCAGATCCTGTTTTGGAGGATACTCTCTATCATCTAGGATGCCAAACTCCATATTGCTAGAGAATTTCCTATTAAAACTTTACATTTCTTACCTGGAGAAGCACAAATTCACAGAACTATAGCTGGGCATACAGACTGTTTATAGATACAGGACCTTAGACAAATACTAAATGTTGTGTTCTGAATTGCTAGCCCTACTTCTATACAGGGTAGCCCTCTGTGTGCTACTAAGGCAAGTAAGATGATAATTAGTTCTTTGCTTTGTTTTTTTTATTTGTTGGAATAAAACAACGTTTTTACCTGACATTTTTTGTGGCTTCATTTCCCAAAGCAAAAGCTAGTGGAGGATTATATGTAAAATTGTGACAGAGAAGCATGACACAGAACTCAGCAGACCTTTGGTTAGACTTGCACCTGCCTGCTTAGAACACCCTTCTCTAATGCTTGCTGGTAGAGTGGTGCCTTGATTGCCTGCTATGTGACTGGATGAATGAAATTGCATAACTGGATAATCTGTAGGGACAACAGTCCTATGGGTTGCCACTAACCTGTCACCCAGCTGCTAATCCTGGACCGTGCACAGTTTCACATCGGGCACCTCAGCTGTGAGTGAGGGGGCTGCCAGCACTGTGGGAGGGGACCAACACACAGCTTCTCCCTGGGGTGTCACCCACAGGGCTACAAACACTGGGGATGTAGCTGGCCTACAGCATGAAACTGCAGCTGACAGAAGGTCTGAACTGAAACTGGCATTCAGAGAAGGTCCCTGTCTGTGCCAAGCAAGAGATACTCGCAGTAGATTCTGCTGCCATCATATCACATACTTCTTATGACAGATAAATTACCAGATCCTGAAATTCTTGTGTGTGCTTTTTTTTTTAAATGTTTGTGGCACTGGCTTCACACATTGGCAAGTGTTTTGTAAAAAATAATTAAAGAAATGGCACTTCTGTGCAGGAAGAATAAATACTTGATTGGCTTACGGGAGAAGGTAGACAGTGAAGCACTTACCTAAACATTCTTCCTGCATACGGACACTCTCCTAAACTAGGACCATAAATAAATTTATGTTAACAAATTCACTATATTTACATGTTACATTGAAACAGTTACAATCAGTCTCAAGTGTAGGTAACCTATCTCCCTATTAGCTTCAGAACATGCAAAAAAATAGAGTAGATATCTGTTCCATCTAAGATACAAAGAAGAGATGTGATCTCACTAAAAACTAGAGTTCAAAACTGAGTATCATCAGTAAAATGCTAATAGACATTTTCAGATTCTATAAAGCAAGTGTTGAAACAGAAAAGGTTTGATATGGAAGGGAATCCCGTCCATATAAAATAAAACTCTTTCAAATGGAATGTAGTCAGTTTCTAAATACATTCAAATATTACAGTGTCTATAAATAGAAAAATAGATAGTGCTGAAGACCTAAAACAGCTCTTTTGCAAATGTTGAAGAGAATATATGTCTTTTTACTATCAATAATACACGCTTGCTTGAGCTACAGCTGTTCTAGTTTTATGCAATAGTTCAAGTACCTTCCCCTCTTCTCTCCTTTGCAACCCTCCATCTTCCATTTTCACACAACAGAGTCACCAGGGCATATCTTAATTTCATCAGGTTTTTGGAAAAAAACCCACATATCCTGAAGTCTCTTTGTGTGCATGCAGTCAATCAAGGAAGCATATCATAAATCCACAGTGGTCCTTCAATTGTCACTCAGGCAGTGGCACTTCCCTAGCCTCGGTGCTATATCCAAGAGAGGCTATGTGCTGACAAACTGCCTCTTATTTGCACAGAGCCTGCTGAGAAGGATTTCAGAATAAACTTGATTTATTGGACCTCGGACATGATATGGGGACTGAGAATTTGTTGCATAGTCCTGCAGTTGTGATGGTTTGCTTTGACTGCCGAAATATTTCCCCAGCGTATAGTGCCTTGATAACGTCATTGTTATGTGTGGCCTTTCTTCAGAGGGATTGGATTTCACCACCTGCAAAAGAAATGACATATGTGAGTGCTTTCTGCCTGCACCTAGAAAGACAGACACACAGCTGTGTGTGCAGAAATGCTGAGGCAGTTGTCCATGAAGCGGGTCCTAATACTCTTACCTTGAGGTGCAAGTTTCTCATAAACAGTATTTTAATGGCCAGCTTCTAATGTTACAAACTCACTAAGAGTAAGATTATAATTTTTGAAATCTACATGCATAGGCCCATTATACTGAGTCATTTGACTCTGTAATGCCTTTGTGTATTAGACTCCGTTCTCCTCATTAGAGACAATTTACCTAAAACAATAAAATTCATACTCAACAGCTTGTGTGTATACTTTTAGCATGTGAAAAAAAAAACTCATGACTGCTTCAAATTGTGGAAAGGTTTCATCTTGCTCTGATACCAAGCACTTGAGGTACATATAACGTGTCTCAGCTATGAGCCCTGTGAGAATGCCTCATTCTGAGGTCTTGATGCAAACCTGACCCAGCCCCAGGGTGAGATGAAAACCCTCGTGTGTCGTGTTTCTCCAAGAAGGGAATTATGGTGCAATTTAACACCCTCTCCCTGGGACACCATATAGACAGAACCACAACAGGATTCAGTAACTTAGTGTTGAAGACTGCTTCACCTTGGACCCTAAAACATGTATAAAGGTCAGGAATTATTGTGTTCAACTTGTATGGAATAAAACCATGCTCATGGAACTAACGAGTGAGAAAGTGAAAGGTTAGGTTGTCTGGAGCTTAACAATTGGGAGGGTGATCTCCTGTGAAATGCTGAAGGTCTTGTCTCAGCGAATAGTCAGTTACCAGTGAATAATGAAGTCGCTTGGAGAGAGACAAAACTTTAGAACCTTGCACATATGCAGGACAGAGGACCTCAGCCCAGGCAGGGCAAACCCAGAGAAGACAGAAAATGTGTTTAACTCATTTTTAAAATTGTATGTATATGCTGACTTGATAGCTCTAATGCCCATCAGTTTTCCTGCTATATCAATCACAGCAGACACTTGAAAATGCAGAATTTGTTTATTAATGCACATATTTATGCAGAAGCATGTTAGCTTTTAAATATATAATGTATATTTCTTGTCACTGAACAATCAGAATCAACACATATGTGGTGAAGCTCATAATAAATAAAATAAACCATACAAAATTAGGTGTGAGTGAAGAAATAACATGTGCAAATGCTTGAAAGACTGAGCAGAGAGACTATGAGGGAGCTGCCAGAACTGAAAACAGACCAGGAATTATCCATGTAGAAAATTAATATATCCTCTGATCAATTTCATACAGCTAAGCCAAGGGCTATTATTTGTTTTCATGCAATTACTGTAGGTTCATTTTTCTAAATTAGTGCCTTAGATCTTACAATTATTTCAAAATGATGCCACCTTGAACCAATCACCCAAACTGCATTCCTGTTAGGCATAATCTCCCAGGAATGCAATTTAATGTTCACCCAGCCACTGGGATTAAGATACAAAAATCCCAAGGTTGCTAATTTCTGTGTAGTGATTATGATTTCACTGCCATTAAAATAGGAAATAAATCTGAATTTAAAAATAGCTTCTGTAATAATTGTATAATGCTGACCAATGTTCATAAGCATTTTTAAAGAATGAGTTAGATAAAAAAAACAAGGTTTCATGTGTGCATAGAACTACAAGTTTGTTGGGCAGTGAGTGCCAGGGTTACGCAAGATATTTTGTCCCAGCTCAGTATAATCTCTTTGAAAGTACAGATCCCTTAGAAATCTGAGCAAAGATTGTAGAGTCTACAGAGATGGAGATTTCTTTGCTAGCAGGGTCAACTGAGACCATCTGAAATGGCTTGGTGGGAATGTAAATAATTCCTCAGGCCATTCAGAGGAAATAGATTTCTCTTCAGCCAGCTAGCTGGAACTAAATGAGAGCTGCTGAAGGCATTTCAGTTGTTGTTTTTTGACTGCACAGAACGGCCAGCCCTCCATTCTTGCACAGCCATACTTTAGCTCGGATGGCATTTAGAGAGGGGTGACATCTTCTGAGACTTTAGGAATGTCGGTTTTTAAGAGAAAGAAAGTGAAAGTACAAAGCACAAGATTTAATCTGTCTCATCTGGTTTCCAAAAACATGAAAAGTGCTGAGGTTTTACACAGTGTTCTTGGCTCTGTCCTTGGGGGCAAAATGCCATTTTCCTGGTGCAAACTGCTTCAGCACCTAATGAAACTCCACTTGCCAGGATGCAGAAATAAGCTGATGACAAAACTATTAAAACTAATGAAGTAACAAAAGAACTCAAGGACTTTCTTTTTGGTTTCCTCAAGAATCAAGTCTGGTTTTTGGTGCATGATGGATTATACTGAGCCTATCTATGGCTCTTTCAGGCACAATGACCTCTCAAACCTCATTAACAACAGCTCTGTGAGCCAAATTCTCCCCTGATCCTCCCCAGAAACACATACTCTGTTGAGATTCCTTCAGCAGAGAAGCAAGAACAAATCTGCACATGAGCTCATACGAAATGATGGAGGAGTACATGAAAAATGCTGATGACTGATTACGCCCTGCTATTTTTCCACCCAGTTCCATACAAAGCATTTGAAATATTTAATTTTGAAGCTTTCTGTTTCACTCATAAGATCTGTGGAAATGGCAAACATTAGCAATGACCCACAAAAACCCCAGCATCTGGGTTCTAGATTAAAAAAAAGTCAATACAGCTCCCTGGGTAAAATGGAGGGAAGCATTTGCTCCATGGGACTATTTATCAATCATGTGAATATCTACTCCGTAATTTACTCCCTCTTTTCCAGCTTCATTTGCACTGAGCTGTGTTTGTGCCTCTCAAATATTAAGCAGAGTAGAGCTTAATTAACTAACTGATTAACTAACCACACCTGCTGATGTTGGCCCCAAAGCAGGCTAGAGGCCATGGCACTGGCCTGAAAACATGTGAGCTGCTGTGGAGACTGAGTGGAAACCAGCTGTGAAGCTGACACATGGCACATGAGCTCATGTGAGTCTGATAACACTCCCAAAAAATTCTATAGATTTTAGTCAAGAAAGCAGGATTACCGGTGTAAGAGAGAACAAGCAATCAACACTTCTGTTTGTACAGTGGATCACTGTACAAATTACAGATGATTTTTTCTCAGACATAGGAAAACAGAGATATAGTATTAATATTGGTTCTTCAATTTTAAGCTCCATTTTAATTATATGTATGGTTTGATGTCAGTGTGCTGAGCTGTTCGGTTAGGAATGCATCAGTCAAACACTTGTGAGACTGAGTAAAAAGAGAAACTGAGTCCATGCAGAAGCAACAGAGATATATGACATGTAGCAAATAATACAAGGACCTGCAAACTGTGCAACAAACTTTTATACGAGTTACCTTTGCAGAAGGGCATGTTTATTTTTGCAGTTCAGCATGTCCTTGGGTGGCCTTGCACTGTGAGCAGTGACAGCCAAATGCCACCACACAAACCACTTTCCCACAAATTGTATTCAGGCCTAACTTTGAGTGACAGATGCTGACCTCACCATATAGCTCCTTGTTTCTAAGATCTGACAGTTAAAATATCTTAAATATCTGGGAGTGATACAAGTGTAAACTATTACCTCATGAAAATGGCAGCCACACTTCCCTTGCAGGAATTCTTTGTAACGTCCCATGGTGATGACAAAGGTGTCAACCACTTCATAGCCCAAATTTTTTGCTGTATCCAGAATAATCAAGTTTTCATTCCACAAGTTTTGTACTTCCGCCTGCATTCCAGATAAAAAATTGCAATGTCTTGTCAGAAGGACTGTTGAAAGGTTATTGTGTCATTGAAAAAAATAGCAAAACTGCATTTTGAATAAACAATTATGTTAAACTACGGACATGAATTACTATTAATTCACTCTTAACAAAAGCTACTACTCCGAGACTGATGTAGAGTTTTTTTCAGAAATTATAATTACTTTTCAGTAGATGTGCAGCTTCCTTTATAGGAAGATTTCATGATTGTTTAAAATACAATTCTTGGCTAATGGTTTTTAACATGTACTTCACTAATATGAAGTATAATTCAGAAAAAAGTTCCAATTATAAAGTTTATCTGTAACAAATGGTGAAGCTGCTCCTTTAAAGAAGAATTCAGCTTAAAATAAAGTTCATTGAGGCAGTTGCTTAAAAGGGACTATAGGGCCATAGGTATCTTAAATATGGTTATACTGAAGAATGGATTATTATTTCTGAATATACTTCAAGAAGACCAGGAATAGGAAAAAAAGTTAGCCATAAAGTTGGCAAGGCAGTGGATTCAACACGGCAGACAAAAGGCCTTTGGGAGTTGCTGGGGTAATCCTGAAGTATACAAACCACATGGGTAATTTGGCATATGATTCCAGTTATGAAAGGGAAAAGGATGTTGGTTATGCACTGTAGCTGATTTCTGGAGTTTTGTAGATTTAATGAATAGGAAAAAGAAAATGTCTTAGGAAGCCTTTAACACTCTACCCTTCCCTCACATACCCTGGACTGAAGTTCTTCATTCTAGGATTGAACTTGACTGAAAACTATGACAGGACCTATGAAAATGTTTCTTCATGTTAATGACAACAATTTCCTTACTTTGTTCTTTTTAACACCTCCAGATAAATTAAGATAAATTGTTTGAATCAATAAGAAGACATTCAGTAGAGACAAGGCAGATAGGCAGTACTAACTTAGAAAGAATGGGCAAAATCAGACAGGGCAGTCTCTGTGGCAAAGAGAAGGGAGGGAGTAGCAGGAAGTCACACACTGAATACAGCAGTGTGTTATGGTTGCAAAAAGATGTGGGCGCTAGTCCCCAGTGCACAAGGAGTACTGTACGTAATCTCTGAAAGGTAATAATTTTCTCTTTTCAACACCTGGGAATAGCTGGAGCATGACACACAGCACTGGTAGGCATCATTTACTCCACTCTGCCTTCCAGTGCTTCTCATCCATGCATTTTATGTGTGTTCAATAGAGAATCACTGTCCAAGCTGTAAACAAAAACAGTGAATTGAGGGAGTTACACAGTGCATTGAAATGAGCACATTTGTTACTCTGAGAGTCTTGGATATGATTTAAATCAATTGTAACATCCGATTAACGTGCAAATAATGCTGGATTCACCGGTACATTCCAGCTGCTCTGTAATGTCCTGGCTTCACAGGTGGGTTAAGATAGATATTGAGGTGTGCAAGCCAGACAAGTGAATTGGATCTGGCAGTAACCACGGAGGAAGCCTGGGGAGGCCCTATGCACGATGCAGTATGAGGAGCAATCTGTTTGTCTCCAGCACAATCTCTCAGTTTTGGCAGTAGGATTAATATTGGAGCTTCTTCTGGTTCTTGGGACAGTGGACCAAGCATGGCATCTCAAATGCTCTCTGACTGCAGCAGAATCAATGAATTAAGGAAAGTGGTTTGAATCCCTATTATTACTAAGCAGTATGAGCAAATACAAACAGTAATATTCCTTTGATCCACTTAAAATGTGCTCAGCAGACATTGTAACATATTTTGACCAGACAGCAAAATTAATGATGAAATGACAAGTCTTCCATGAAAAAACACCCAGAATGTACTTACTGTACAAAATGTACTCACTGTAGCTTACCTGTGATAGAGAATGGATTCCATCCACTGGAAGGTGAAAGCCCATCCCTATGGATTTGACAATTACCAGGTGTTGTTTCCCATAATTTATCATATTAAAAATCTGAATAACACCAAGAACATAACATTACCTGTTTAACACCTTTTGGATAATTTGCAGGTGATTGGAATTAAGCCACTGAACACCACCTACAATTAATACAGTCTGGTCTGTGTTCTCCAAGGGACGTGATCTGAAACCCAGAAAAGAAAAACAACACATGTTGCTTTAAACAGATGGCAAACATTTTAACTGCATTGCTTTGCACTTCACTGAACTGTATCTGGCACCCTGATTAGAGGCCTGATATAATTTTCAGCTATTTTTTAACCACACAATATGGTCTGTGCACATTACTGACTTTAATTGAAAAACGTGTTAAACACATTTGTGAATAGAATGATAATACAAACAAGGGAGATACAGAGTTTGTGCAGTACCTCTGCAGCAGCTGTTCTAGTGCTTTTTCAAAAGTCGGTCTCTGGTTTGCATTCATCCAGAACTGGGGGTAGTAGGAATAACTGATAAATGTTTTCCCCTCATTGATATTGTGATAACATTTAACATCATGAGTCTTCTGCCATTCCTGAAGAGTCTTATTCACTCTTTCAATTAGATAATACATCATCCCTCTGTTGGTTGAGTCACCTATAAAAAGAATCTTCAAATGGAAAAAATATGACTTAGAAGTTGTAAAATCCAGAAACAAAAAGCTAAGGAAAGAATACAGCTAGTTGGGAGGTTTTTAAATGCCTCTCATAATGTTCCAGAAATATCTTTTTGAACTCCCAGTACCCTGGCATCTTAATATGAAATCTGTCCTTTAGCAAAAGCAAAATCTGTGTGATTTGATCAATAAAAAGCTGTATCATGTACTTTAAAGACAAAAAGTACAGGTTATAGATGGCTATAGCTGCAAAATTAGCCCTGCATCTTTCATCCTTGGTGATAATTTCTTTTGCTTAAGTTTATATTTACTTCTAATTGCTAGTACACAATTGCTCTCATGATTGCTTGCAGCTTCCTGCTTTTTTCCCTTACAGTTTTTCATGTGGTTTGCTCCTACACAGTGTGTATTGGTCTTCTATAAATGGGATTCATTAGAATTTACACCAAAATAATACCCTCCTCCCCCCTCCCCCACTCCACAAAGGATGTGCCTTATCTGTAGAAAGATGGTCCTTTCTGCAGGTTCAAAGGGGAAAGAAAAGGGGGTTATTTGGATGGAGGATAATCTCAATAGAGTCCAGTCATGTGTGATGTGACCACCAGAAAGCACCATGGCCTGAAGAGAGTTAGAAATCCTACCAGGATGACAGAAGTACTTTAAGTATAGCAGTCTCTGCTGGGCTACCCTGAACTTGCAGTTTGAAGAACTCAAATATGGGTATGCTGCCACTCATTCTATAGATTCCTCTGAAAAAACAAACATCTCTGTATGGAGAGACCACAGAACCTAAAGTGTTGTGGGAATTCTTTTTAATGCTATTACCCTATTTTGAGTGGATAGGACTAGCATTTCCTTCTGATGAAGCAGGTAATAGAAGACAAATTCAAAGAGCAGGAGAACCCAGGTTCACTGCAGTTTGCCAATGAAACTGTGTGCAGAATCAATTACCCCAGTCAGCTCAGCCAGAATCCACAATGAGAAACAAACATGTAAAACTGGGATTAAGAAACCCCACAGAGCCATCAGACAGTAACAGCCCTGTTCTCTGCACAGAAATACTCAGCTTCTCTTACCTCCTCTGTCAATCAGGATAGCTGGCATCCTGGAAGTTGGAATTTTGTTGTTTCATTTCTTAATTTGGAGTTTGATGTTTTACCACTTCCACCTTGAACATTTGATTATGCAAATAAAACTCAGACTGCATAAGATGACATGTTTAAGGATGTATTTCCAAAGTTTTTTTAGATATTTTATGTGGTAGAGGCATTTTGGACTACACTCATCAAACATTTTTATCTATCTATTTATCTATTCCTTTCAGGAATGTCACAGTTTTGAAAACTGATTCCACTTACCACTATTAACCTATTGTGATTAAAAATAAGCCACAACAGTGTACCAGTGATACTTCCCACAGAAAAGAAGGAATTTCAGATGAGTCTACCCTCATCTGATGTTAGGGCCAAGAATGAACATGACAATGCCTTCAACTTCCCATGCCTTACCCATTGTGGGCTGCAGAGAAGCTCTTGACAGATTATGTATGGTAGCAAACAAATTAAAACTAGCCCTGAGCTCACAGAGGCTCTTCTAACTCCTGTCCTGGACCTCTCAAAGCCTCTTCATAGAGGAAATTCTTAAACAGCTGCTGTTCATGCTTGTATTGCACAAGCATTTCTCTCTCACCCAAGGGGGTTTCCAGCTTTTCACATCATGTCAGAAGAAACCTCTTTAATAAAGCATAGCATGATCCACAGAAGTCAAGGATCCTTGCATTCATGGAAGAACTGGTTGGATATTCTGTCTTTCCCTCTCTGACAGACACACACGTGCATAAAGCTATTTACAATTAGGAAGACAGTCCATGCTTAGAATATGTCCTAATTCTAAAGTAGGTTAACTTGAGGTTTTAAGCAACAATTCTTTTAGGTTGCAAAATCTCTTGATTCTCCAGCCTGTATATATCCATGTCTCTTTAATCTCCATTTCATAAGCCCATCACTGTAGTATCTTGATGCATATCTATTTAAAAAGCAGTTCTCAGATATTCACAGGCAAGGACATCATGAGCTTGTAATGTGGGTGAGAACATTTCTGTAAAAACCCAACATATCATTAGCAGAATAACAAACAGGCCCTACCAAGTTACACACATACAGCAGTTGGTAGAACATACAAGACTGCTTCTCTTCTAGTATCATATGACACCATTTCACTATCACAGAACATGGGAATTGCAAAGAAGCATATTCAGATATTAATTACACAAAATTGGCAGATGAGACATTTTTATCTCATTCTAGTGTGATTAGAATTCTCATCATTCTCCTATCTATATTTGATCTAATCTCATCTACTACTGATTTCAAATAGCAGATCCACAACTTCCATGGAAAAAAAGAACCATGGCCAATGTCAATGAACATGATGAACAGATGCCTTTTTTGCCAACACTGTACATTCACTAGCAGTTTAGGTGTGAAGAGTCATGCCAAACATTTCCTAAGTCTCAAACACTGCAGACATTTCCTAAGTCTCAAACACTGCAGAGCATCAAAGATTAAGATCTCTTTCTCTTATTTTTTTTTTGTTATGTCAAAATTAGAGCAAAACACATACACACATCCCAGTCTACACTATTACATGGTTTAGCATTTTAGGGCTTTGAAATTTTTCTATATCTGCTGAGATACATATACATAAAAAGTGGACCCATGAACAAATTTTCAAGTCTGCCCTGGGGTACCTTTCTGGTCAGGTTCTGGAGATGGAAGGGCATTATGTGCAGTCATTTAATAAACCCCTAGAAGAAGAAACAAGTTAATTACAATCATGTGTTAAAGTGGCAGTTCTAGTCTGGAAATGCCATGATACTGGGCATTATATAAAAATATCAGGTGGGTCTTAGCATATTACTATTGTTTTTCTGCTGTTCTGAGAATGAGAAATAGGTGACAGGAGTCAGAGCAGATTCCTTTAGAGTAATTAGCATAACTAGATGAAACAGACAACTGTTAAGGCCCTGACATACTTCTTCAAATATCATCACAAAATTGATGAGACTGCCCTCAGCCTATTTCCAGATCAGATAAGAGAAAGATAGCAACATCATCCTGGGTATGAATACAGGTTGTACCACTAGGGAAATTCACCTACTTTTGGAAACAGGTCTGCTAAAATAGTCAAGCCTTGCTGCAAGTGGGAAAGGAATAAATGAGCCAAAGTGGACTTGTGGTTGTACAGAAAGACAGATCAAAAGGGGAGGTCATCCTTAAAGATGTCAGTCAGTTATAGAAACCAGATAATACAGTCATGACGTTTTTGATTGTTCAGGTAGGTATGTGCTACATCAGGACTGTATCACCGGCATCAGGCATATTTGTTTAACTCTGTCTTCCAAGGTGAAATCATAGTTTTTTTGGAAAGTATGAAAACTAGGACTGCAGTGTGTGAAACCTATGGTCCCTGCCCTCTAGCCCTGAGAGAGAGCTCTAAAGTCTGCAGCCATCACGGGACAATATCAGCAGTCATCCTCTAGAGACTGTGTGCTGGGATTTTGAAGGGAATGCTCTCTCATAAGTCTAAAGAAGATCTCAGATAGAAAGATAGCTGTACATTTCTTGTAATGTGATGCACCTCTGGCTGGTGGATGCTTAGCACATCATCAGCTTGTCTGCACACACACTGCATCCATTCATTAAGGTTTTGTCTGCATCCAACAACCTGCTTCAAACCATTGGATCAACCATGATGTGAGATGTGTAAATCTTGGGAAAAAAAAATCTAAATTCTTCTTTTTCTTCTCCTCAAAAGAAAAAAAAAATTGTAGTGGATGAAGATGAAATCTGTAGGTAATCCTACCTTCTTTTCAAACTGCCCTTGCCCTGCCAAATGGATTGTGTTACTGTATGCAGACCATCAAAAAGCATCTTTCAAAGTCCACCTTTTCCAAGTCAGCCTCATTTTTAGCAAATTCTTGGAGGACTCAATGGCTAAAATAAGTGGTGTTTAGCCTGAGGAAGAAAACCTATGTCCTTCAATTAGCCCAGGAGTTCTGATGAATTAAAATAATCTCTCAATGTGATTGAACATATGGTAAATAAAACCACATTTATTTCTATACAGTTAGATGAACTCATGGTAGTTGCATGTGGTATGTAGTACTTAATATGTTTTGAACAAAAGGCTCTACAGATGATTCTGTATTTACCTCTATGATAATAATGAGGGACATGATGGCTTAGGTGTGTAGACTAAGCCATACCTCATTTTTTTACAGGTCTGGCATGTGACTTAATCATGTACTGTTCAAGTTGATGGGGCAGTTGTCTGCAGGAAGACTAAATGATCAGACAAACATAAGGTTATAATTTTACCAGACAAAGAACAACACTTTCACACAGACAGATGTTTTCACTGTCTTCTGTTGCAAATATTTTGTGTGAAAAATTCCATTATAGCTTAAAGGGTTTGAAAGATTGTGTAAGCATAGTGGAATTCACTTCTTAACCAGACCTATCATTAAAAATTAACCACACTTGGGAAATTTAAACACCTGTAAGTTCAAAACACTACTTAACTCTAAAATATTATTAAGAAATCATAAGTTAAAATTTCTGTTTTAACAGCTGAATTTTAAGTACTTCAACAAATATTGCCTTTTCATATTTCCTGTTCTTAATTACACATGACTCAGTGGTATTTTATTATAAGACTAAACTCTGGCTAGTATTTCTCAATGATAAGTAAAATATATATCCCTCCTGCTTTGAGGCCAACTTTCTATATACTGCAAATTGGATAAATAACAACCTGTTAGAACCCATTTTCCTTCACCTATTTTTGAAAGTACAAAATCAATCTTGTACAAAAATCAAAGCATTATCTTAATAAATTTGTGTATGTCTTATAGGAAAATGTTATTAATCACAGCTACAGAGATTTTTTTGTCAACATAATACAGATAAAGTATTTTATTATGATGAACAATTTATTTGATTCAATTAGGACATATGTATGGAGTCCCCTATGAATGAGATAGTCAGCATCTCATTACCCTTAAAGTGGAAGAGAAAAAATGCTGCTGATATTAAAAGTGGACTGAAAGAAAATCTACTCAGCCAGAACAACCTTAACCTCAGCATTTCAAAATTTTCCTGTTTACTATGTATGAAATACAAACATATGACTGACCATTCTTGCTAACACATCATAAAGCAAAATAAGGCCTCATAAAACTGTTTCTGTGCATGTACATGCACATGTCTCCACCAGCTTGAGTTATTGTTTCACTACAGGTGGTCCTATGTTTTTATGAAACCAAGTGTCCTGGTTTTGGGTGGGATAGAATTAATTTTCTTCCTAGTAGCTGGTACAGTGCTGTGGTTTGGATTCAGAATAAGAATAATATTGGTAACACCCTGATGGTTTTGTTGTTGCTGAGCAGTACTTACATTAAGTCAGGGACTTTTCAGCTTCTCATTCTTCCCTGCCAGAGAGGATGATGGCACAAGAAGTTGGGAGGGGACACAGCCAGGACAGCTGACCCCAACTGGCCAGAGGGATATTCCAAACCATATGGCATCATGCTGATCAATAAAACAGGGTGGGATTGGTTGGGTGACAGCAGCTTCTGCCCTGAGATGGGCATCAGTCAGTGGGTGCTGAGAAATTGCATTGTGCATTACTTTGTGTATTTATTAATATTTTCCCTTCCTCTTCCATTCTACTAAACTGTCTTTTTCTGAACCCACAAGTTTTACCTATTTTCTGATTGTTTCCCTCATTCCTTTGTGCAAATGAGTGAATGGCTGTGTAGTGTTCAGCTGCCTACCAGGTTAAACCAAAACACACAGAAACAACTTAGTTCAAACAGTTTTATATGCACACAAACAAAAATAGCAGTTAATGATGATGTGAAATCAATTGGAACTCATATCCAGGGAAATGGATTTTGATTACAGAGAAAGATTATAAAGCTCAGTTGAGCTTTGGAAAACAGATCAATTTTATTATAAGAAATAGAAACAGCCTGAAGTTAGAAAGCAAATTAGAAAGCATTATTAAAGGCTTAATTATGATGCAGGCAGGAAAGAAGTGCTCTGTTTGGGTGACCATAAATATCTTTCAGAAACATTGACAAATGAATACAAGAAATTAGGGACTGAGAGATATCTGCTGCCTTTTACTGTTGTTCTATGAAACACAAGAAAAATAGAAGGGTTGCATTAAAGACACAGTTGATCTTCCATGTGCTACATTTCAGTCAAAAAGAGCATTCACTTTACATCTTAATTAATCACTTGCTGAAGTGAACACAAGTCAGGAACACAGCACAGCACTGGTTAATTGTTGCATGTTTCCCTTCACATCCATTAAAAGTAGAAATATAAGTAGGCTTTTTTTAGTCTTTTTTTTTCTCCCTTATAAAACTAATAGAGATGCATGTGAAAACAGCCTCTAGCTGACAAAGTTGAAATCTGACAATAGTATAGAGATTAACACCACCTATTTAAATTAAAAGATGCAATCATAGACTTATGCTGTTTATGTCTTAGCATGATCATAGAATCATGGAACAGTTTGGGTTGGAAGGAACCTTAAAGATCATCTAGTTCCAACCCCTGGAAATGTGCAGGGAAACTTCCAGTAGTCCATTCCCCCTTGTCCTATCACTACATGCCCTTGTAAAGAAGATCCCCTTCAGATACTGGAAGGCTGCTCTAAAATCTCCCCAGAGCCTTCTCTACTCCAGACTAAACAGCCCCAACTCTCAGATCCTGTCTTCATAGGAGAGGTGTCTCAGCCCAGTGATCCACTCATGCATGAGTCCCTCCTCTGGACTCATTCCAACAGTCAGCATTCTTCCTTTTGTTGAGGACCCTGAATGGAGCACAGTACTCCAGGCAGGGTCTCAGCAGAGCAGAGGGAGAAAAGAACTTCCTTCAGCCTGCTGCTCACAGTGCTTCTGAGGCAGCCTAGGGTACGGTTGGCTTTCTGTGCTGTGAGTGCACACTGCTGGGTCATGTTGAATTTTTTGTCCACAAACACCCCCAAGTCCTTCTCCCAGTGCTGCTTTCAGTCCATTCTCTGCCCAGCCTGTATTTGTGATTTGGATTGTCCTGACACAGGTGCAGGACCTTGCACTTGGCCTTGTTCAACTTCATGAGGTTCACAGAGGCCCACCTCTCAAGCCTGTCAAGGTCCCTCTGGATGGCATCCCTTCTCTTCAGCAAATCAACTGCACCACACAGCTTGGTGTTGTCTGCAAACTTGCTGAGGGTGCACTCAATTCCTCTGTCCATGCCAATAGCAAAGATGTCTTGTGTAAGGGATTTTGAACTCCAGAGAGCAAAGTTACACAAGCTGAATATTCAAAACCCCTGAATAAAGAGGCACATGGGTTAGTTGAGGCCATTTTGAGTGGACACATGAATGAGATCTGTTGTTCGTAGCTAACTTAAACAAACAACAATGTAAATCAAACAGCATTCCAGATCACTTCAGTGTCCTTACTTGGGTTGAAGACTTTTTGCCCTTTTGTTTGGCACTCATGCTTTTTTTTGACATCTGCTTTTGTTTCCAGCATTGAAACCTTCTGCTTATTTTATTATGGAAACTATGATATCTTCAGTTTATGATGTCAGTGATCTCTTTAGTACTTAGAGACAAAGTATATAATAAATCAAAACTAAAATCACAATTGAGAATATATAAATATTTACAGATGGTTATGAAAATCTCTTTTAAAATAAACATGTATTTGTTCACAAGAATTATATCTTCCTACAACTCAATAGCTCATTTATAAAAAGTCCAGGTTGCTTAAACCTATATAACACAGACAAGAGTCTTTTTCAGTGAGCAAATGAAACAAAAAATCTTTTTCTACTACATTTCTTGGGCAGTGTAAAGTAATTCCAAAGTTTGACTTATCAAAGGCAGAATTGGGATCTTATCGGCTAAGAAGGGAACTATTTTTATTCATCTGACTTGGGCAGGAACAAAGCCTCTCTTAGTTCTTAAGTTGTATTGACAAAAAGGAGTTGATCCAGGCTCTACATTTATTTATGTGCTAAAAGAAGCAAAAATGCTATTGCAAAATTTCAGACAAAACTAAAATCACTACAAAGTTATGACAAAAATAACACCCGAGAGAAAGAGATAGGAGAAATATACCAAAAGGGGAACATGCTTTGGAGTGATGACTTTAAAAGAATAAACCAATTCAATATACATCTGTGCAAAGGTTAGAGAGGTAATTCAGCAGATTTCTACAGAGCAGCAGAGGTTATCAGAAAGTGTCAGGAGGCTTCTGTAAAAGACACATAATGGGAAACAAGTGCTATTAGTTACAGAGATTTTTCTCAAGGTGTTAATGTAGCTCACTTAGGATCTGGCTGTCATCTGATATTATAATAGATCAGTGACCTCAGACAGTTAGAACATTATGGAATTTGAATTAAGAATTTAAGCTTCACAGACACTCATTTAATTTACTTGGTTTTAATACACCCTTTAGAAATTCTGTCCTGTTTTTGACACTCATGAAAAAGAGTGGTCAGATTTGGGATGTGTAAATGTCAGCAAATCCTCTCAGCAATACCCTGGCAATCCACTTCCACAGTGGCATACTGTTCCTCTGCTGTCCTTCAGTTGCCTGACCAAAGGGTGGCTGCTTGTCAAAGCAGACTGATGTCCATTGAAATTAAAGACTAAAGCAAAGCAATCAAATTCTTGAATATTTTTTTCTGTGGTTAATCCAGAAGAGCTTGTTTTGTACATGAGAAGCAAATTAAGATTCTCCTTTGTCATAAAAAGAATTTTTTTTGAAAAATATTCTAGGAGTAACCTGCAGCTGTATCATGACAGAGAAGACCACCAGCAGAAATAAAACAAAATGGAAATAAAGTACTTTATGCAGGGCAAGAAATTTATCAGAAATTAAGGAGAAAATGTTAATTGAAACACTACTATTTTTGTATTTGTCTATATGGAAATGCTCTCGGATTTTACCAAAATGCCACTTTTAGTAACTATATTCTTACCTAGGCAATACACTTTAAAGAGCTTTATAACAATTAATTACTTACTTTCTGGATACTTGTATCCTCAGTAAGGTACCTGAGCCTCAGATCAGAGCTCTCTCTCAACAGTATTACAGTCATAGCATGCTTATTAAGGAGACCTTGTATTTCCAAGCAATCACTTTAGAAGCTTCACTAAAAGAAAAGAATGTGCAAGAAGACTTGGTAAGATTAGTGTGCACAAGCAATGCCATGCATTAGGTATGCAGCAGAAGAAAACCAACTTGCATGTGAGACAAAACTGTGACAAAAATGCAAATATGTCCTCCATTTGCTGTCCTTGTGTGCTCACTGCAGGTCTGACTGGTAATCACATACACCATAGGTCTTGAAACTCCAGTGGTGACCTAAGATCCTCTGTGAAACAGCAGCAGTCAACTGTGTCTGCATATGAGGGTAAATTACTGACAAAGATTGGTTTTCATCCCTGTGAACTTTTCACCCAAATACTTCTCTAGTTAAAAAAGGATTTTTGTCACATATCAATCTTAAAAATATTTTTAAAACTTCAGGACACTATTTACCCAGGACTCATTTACCCAGATAAATGAGAATGATTTAAAATGTAAAGCCTGGTACATACCCTTCTGCCCTCCACGCAGCGCTGCAGCTCGGGCTTGGCCAGCACAGAGTATTGGCAGCCGTGGGGCTGCCAAGTTATTTCTCTCCAGTCGCAGGTCCTGTTGTCAGAACAGCTGAGGCAAGGGACAATCCATTGCCCTGGAAAACAGCAATCAATATCAGCACCTCTCTGTATTCTTCTGAGTAGTTTTATTACACAGGAAGCACGATATTTTTGAGTATTTTACTCATGTATGTGTAAAAAAAAATTCATAATGGAGTTTCCCCTAAATTTAATGCCCTCCAACCCTTTGAAGAGACTATTTCCTTTCACTGTGTTGTGCCCTCTTCATTTAGCTAGGGTGGGAGTTTTTTCCTTTCCCTGAAAGAGCTACAAATTCTCAATTTTGACAGCCATTTGTGGGTTCATTTCTCATTCCATGTTGCTTTCTTGTAGCAGCTTGTCCTTTCTCAACAGAAGGGATATGAGAAAGAGAAAATGGGTGAGGAGGTTGAATGCAAAAAGAAAATATTCATATTCAGACATGTCTAAAGGTTAATTCTCATCTACAATGAAACACTTAAAGGTTGAGTGTATGGTTGAGAGAAATTGATATAAAAACGAAGATTAAAACTTTCCTTCCAAAACACTAATTTTCTTTCAATTTGTGAGAATTCAGAGAACTGTCCCAGATGACACAAATACATTTCAGAAGATGACAGTAAGGTCAAATAAACAACATATGTGATTTATTAGAGCCTGATATTATTTACAAAAATGATTTTGAAGATTAGGAGCACAAACTGGCATTGCTAAAAATCAGTGGGTTTTAGTAATCCTTTATCTAAGGTTAAATGGTTTTATTATTTTGGTTTTCTAAAACTATTCCTTTCCAAAATCTTAATGGAGGCTTGACAGATTTAATTTCTGAAGGAAGACAGAAAACTTTTGAGTTGCCTTTGTATTCAAATGAACAAAAGAAACACTTTTTCCAGCTCTTAAAAGCACACAGAGCTGACAGTATCTCCCAGTGCCTATGCCACTGCCACAAAACCTACTTTTGCTCTTATTAAAGGCATTACACGAAGAAGACTGCAGAGGCCTAAGGTCCTTGTGTCAATGCTATTGTGCCTTTCTACCACAGATGGGTTTCTCACCACAGCCCAGAAAACAGCCCCAAAGTCAAATGTTTGGAGATCAGACCTGGTCTTAGAGTGGATGCCCACCACCACTACCAGGCAGCAGCTCAGCAGCCAGCTGTGTCTGATGGATTGCTGCTGTGGGACGCCACAGCAAAGAAACCCAGGGCTGCCTATTGACATTTCACCTGGCCAGGGACTGAGGGGGAGGCTGAGCGAAGAAACGCTGAAGGATCCCAGCCTTGGGAGAGCCAGCTGCTACCTCAGGAGCAAGGGAATTTCCAGGGAGGCAGCCTGTGCTTGCACTTAGGCAAAAGTCCAAGTTTTGGTAAGTAGCAGGGTGAGTCATCGTAGCAGATAAAGAAGTCCTTCCAAATAAAATCATCAAGAATTTTTTTATATGGGTACATCTAAGCGATGAATGCATCCCACAGTGCCGCAACCATGTGATACCAGTTTCTGTGTACCCTGCACAACTGCCCCTATTTCTGCCCTGTGCAGAACATGCACCACCCTCAGATGCACTTGTAGATCATACGGAGAAAATTATAGCAGACTGAACCTAAACAAACCCCTGGACAGTGGCCTTGAGCACACTGTGGTTCAGTGAGCATAACCCAGCTTCCCCTGTTTGTGTGGGTGCGGGGACTCGTGGAGGCTGTGATGGGCAAGTTCACAGCATAGACAGAGGAAGGAGGGAAGGAGGGACACTCAGGACCATGGTGGGAGGGTGCAAGAAGGAAGATAGAGTTACCCCATTCTTCTTGCTCAGAGGAGTTTCAAACTTGCATTTTTCTGCATCCTAATCATGCAGCTATTAGGGGAAATATTCCCCTAATACTCAGTTAAGGACCACTTTAAAGTTCAAAATTCATTAAGACAGGAAAATAGCATGCTTGTAACCTGGTAATTTTTGTGTGAAAAGAGAGATCTGAACTTTGGTACCTAAGAGAGATCCTAGGTAGAATTATTATCAAAGGGTTAAATTGTATTTTTATCTGAAGTTACAAAGTGGATAATCAGGTTCTCGAGCAGGGAGTTCTCTTCCAAATGAATACCCTCCTCAGCTGGGACGCCAGAGGCTGGATTTAGACAATTACTGTAGCCTCCCAGTGCTGTTGTGAATCCCTAACTCATGCTGATCCTCTGGCTTTGAGGTCCCGTGTTCCAAGCTGTGGTTGCCTGGCCAGCACTGGGGCAAGGAATACTTCTACCCTCCAAGATTTCTATTACCTCTTGTGAATCTTGCTGTTGGCTTCCACTTTGCAAGCCATGACTAAATGATCATTCCCAGCTTCACAGCAGTCTCATGAGGAGACTGAAAAGTGGAGTTCTCCGATAACCCAGCAATAGGTGCCATGGAAACACCTGCTTTGTACCATTTGAGTAATAGAGCAGGGACAGAATGGTTGGTTGATTTAAAGTCTGGACTCAGACCCTGCCACTACTGTAGAGATCTTAATAAATGATCTGAGAGATGTTTCAGGCAGTGACATGTCTTTTAAAATTATAGGAAAATTCAGTATTTTTTTCCTGATATTGCAATTTTTCTTTCAACCCAAATATATAAAAGTTCTGGCAAAGTCTAAAACATATGAGATCCCTCATTTTATGGAATTTTCTTTTAAAGATCCTACACTTTTATGAGCTGATTTGGTTTAAGGTAATAAACTAGAAAAGTAGAACTCTATAAAATGAATATTGAGGAGCCAAAATATCTGATCAATAAATGTTTAAACTTTGGCAACAGAAAGTGATAAGTAACTTTTGAAAAGCTTCTTTTAAATATTTTGGTTTATGTTTAATGGCTCCCTAGGTATATTAAAAAAAACATAGGTCAATTTTTGGCATATGCAAAAGGTTATTGGCAAATGAAAAAATATCTAAGAACACAGATATATGGAGATAAATTCATATTTTTAGGAAGCACTAGCATTTAATACTAACAGAATAATTCTATTAGTTTTATTTTTTATTTTTATTTTTACATAGATTTTTTTAAATGATGCATGTAAATTTATGCACTTAAATCCAACTCCAGTTGTGAACTTTTCCTGTTTCAATTTCCCAGTTGGTCAATGCATTCTTAACCTTCAAAACCAGGATTGTGTTAAAAGATAAAATTAATCTCATCAAAAAGAAGACAACAGTGAAAAATTGCTAATAATAGTTTGGAAATTAGGGTTGTATTATATAGCAATTTGAAGTTGCTCTTTCCTCACTTATGTAAGTTAGCAGCACACACTGCAGCTTTCAGCATAATTTCGATCAGGCAGCATCTTGTGGTGCTTCAGGCAAAAGCAGTAACATTGGCTCTAAAAGACAAGGGCAAATTTACCAACATTTAAGTGAATGAGAGCAAGAGAGACACACTGTTAGTTTCTTCACAAATTAAAAACTGGCACAATCTAACTTTTATGAAAACCTGTAAGTTGGAGGTTTCTACAGGAAGAGCAAAAGCTGGACTTTTGGCTCATTAGTTATCTGTTGTATACATAAATCTTCTGCTTAAGATATGAGATTAAACATTGCCAGTACTCCCTAAAACTGTTCTCATAAAAGGGCATGAAAACAAATATACTTTCAAAATAATTAGCTAGGATTGTTTACTTTCCATTTAAAAAATATTAGACTAAAATTGGAAGTTTTAACCAATAACGGCTCTACACTTCATTTGATAGTTTTGCTTTTTCTTTCAGTCTCTTCTATTTTTATTTATCCTTTTTTCATTGTCATAGTCATAATTAAACATTCTGCTTTCAAATTTAAAATCAAGGTTTTTCTATAGTGCCAAACAATCATCCATATAAAGACAAAATAGTATTCTAGCTTTCTAATTCAAAATCTAAATATTTAACCTACACTGATGCTGATTTGTTGATTGATCACTAGTTTACTTTTGTATTAGGTGTTTATTTGGTACACTAAGATCTTTAAAAAGCTTTTTCTCTGTGAATAGACTATGGGAATATTTTTCTTTTTGTTCTAGCTGTATTTATGAAAAAACAAAAGTATAAACTATTCTTAAAAGGACATTATTTGCTACAGAATAGCCTTAGGTCTATGGATTTATGTCCAAACTGAAATTTACTCCTTGTAACCAAAGGACACATTCATTTTGTTGGACATCAATTTATGTCTCTGCTGCCAAATCTAGACATCTGTTGAATGCAGAGAGACATCACACAGAATTATTTTAAACTGCATGTATAGGAAGAATGGAAAGTGGGATTTAATTAAAATACGTGTCACAGCAACAGAAAATTAGAAGGGAATCTCTGATATCTTACACTCCAGATTTTGTTATTGCTACAAAGTACATTTCTACAGACCACAGTAACCTGATTCACCTGCAGGAATTTAGCACAAATTGGGTTCTCATGGTCTCTTTCAGTTCTCTCTCTTTCCCTCTAAGCCAAACACACGGTTAATGTTTGCTGACTTTTTGTATGATTGGTAATGCAACAATACTGGACAAAGAGCTAATTTTGATATGATAGTGTGGTTCAAACTGGATGTGAAACAAAGGAGAACTTTGGAAAGAAGAAAATATTTTTTTGGTAGAAGAAAGATAATTTCATTCCATGATGTAAACAGGAAGGAAAGAAGCTTCCTCTGTTGTATATTCCACTTTGCATTTATTGATTATAAAAGGGACAGAGAGAGAAATTGTGTAAATTGTGTATATTTGGTAAGGTGTTGAGCTTCCTCTAAAAATAGTGCCATGGTGACTAGGAGAGGAGGAAGTCATTTCTGTCTTTGGTTGGACCCTGAGTTACTGTCTCTGCTCCACATCAAAGGATTAGAAAGGAGTCATGAAGTCCTGCTTGCACTGAACTACGAAGCAGCCTTCTAAATTTTACCATTAATGTCAGAAAAAGTAAGGTTATATCTTTATCTCTGCTGCTCCACCTCAGCCTCTGTACAAGTCTGAGGACAGTGTATGACACCTACTGACTTCTGCAGAATTTTTGAGCTGTCTTCTGAGGGAAAATGACATTGCTTGGCTTCTCTGAAAATTTAACTTATTTAAGAAATATCACTCCTTTAGCAGGGAATTTGCCATTTGCCATTTTTTGTTGCCAGGATCGGTGCATCATTTGGCTGCTACAAATTTGGAAGGATTTTCCACACAAAGCCACACTTTACCATTCCAGTTTGAAGCTGAGATGCACATTAAAACTATACAGCCACTTGTTGCCAGACACTGCAAACCCCTGCTCTAGGATCATTAGACACCTGTTGACAATATTCACTTTATAAGCACAATTTATTCTTCCCTGTTTAATATACTTGTCCTTTGAATATACATCTCCTGAAGTTTGTTTGGACTTTAACAGTGTATATTATTCACAATAAGGTTGTAAAAGATACTACATTCAGCCTCCCTTAGCTAGATTCAGTATTCAAAAGGAGTATGTTGTATATCAGGAGAAAGAGATTGTCTACCTGAGGAAGGATTTAGTGGATTTAGTTTGGGCTTTCTGGTTTTGAACTTTGTGTCCTGATATTGTTGCATAGGATAATACACAACTTGTGTGAATAAAATACGCTGCTAGGAACAACAGTGTCTCTTTTGTGTATTCCCTCCATATAAGACAAATTTACTGGTTGCCTCTGCTTCACAAGAAGTGATGTATTCAGGTACTTCCCACATTCCTGTTAACTTTTTATTGATTATTCAACGAGTTTGTGCAAATTTACTGCTGTGAGGGCCTGCTCCTGTTTATGGCAAGATAAAAAAAACAATTGTGTCAGTAAACCATAGAGGACTGTTGGTTTATTTTTCATTTCTCTAATAAAGAATGGAACAAAATTATTTACTAAATGAACAAGACCACACACCTGAGTAGTTAAAGTACCTTGAAGAAATCCTCATGCAACTGTGACTTTCACAGGAGCACTTGCTTGACAAAATCTGTTGTAATCTGAATTTTCACTAAACCAAAGGCACATCTTGATTGTATTGGTTATCATATAATGTTTGATTTATCCATCTTGTGTTTTAAGGTATATGTAAAATTAAAAACTAATTTTGTGTTTCTAATATAGCAGTGGAAATATAAAATTCAAATGGATCAATGGATTGCATTGAATGGATGAAATTGTGTTCTCTTTCTAAAGTTAATTTTTATTTTGAGTGGAAAATCCCTTTTATTTAGGACAAAACATTTTTATTTTAAGTGGTTTTGATGAAATATTCCAATGACTTTTAAAGACTACATGAAAATAACACATACAGTGGTGGATCACTGACTAGAAGATTATCAAACAAAAAATTCTCACATAAACAAATTAACCTGATTTTAAAAATCAGTAACTGTTACAAGAGATTAGTTCAATTTATTGTGCATAGGTTAGTGCATGTCTGTAGCAAAGAGTTAATATTGTTTCTAGTTTTTCTTTGATGAGTTGCATGAGCTAATTTTCAGAAAAAACAATGGAGATAAAGTACAAACCTTTTGTGTCTCCAGCTTCACAGGTCTTAAACACTGTCTGCGAAATTGCTGAGAGGTATTCATGAGAGAGAGGCTGCAAGCCACAGGACTCCTCTGGGCGAATTTTGGAAGCACAGTCCTAAATTAAAATAGAATCTGTGAAAATGACAGCACTGTGCCCATCCACATTGCCTTGAAATCCTCTTCAAGTGTAAAAAAGTTATTTGGGGTGGTTCTGCAATTACTTTAGCCTTAGCTCTTCAATATACAATTTAATATGAAATTTAGAATCCTTTTTCCATTCAGACCAAGGTTTTGTAATAAATTTTCCCAACCACAGTAAACATACAAGATACTACATTTGCTAAAGATATAAGAAAATTTATTAAGGCAAACATACATACCTTTCATGTAACATCCTGTGGTCTCTACATATTGTATAATCTCAACCTATTTGCCCTTTGGAATTTTGTATGCCTATTTGTAGTCATATGGGATCCATTTCTGTGATGAAATGCCCTAAATTAGCTTCAGGAGATACAGGTGCTTAAAGGAAAATAAATAAATCTTTTCTAAAACTGTACTAAAATTAGTATCACAACTGTTACATAATATCATTTACTGTTGCCATGAAATTATGCTACATCTAGGATGCTGTGCCTAAATTGCACCAATGAGCAAAAGACAATTTACTCAGAGTCAAGGTGCTGATAGTAGAATATGTGCCACTGATGTGGATAGCAATACGAACACATCTTGGAATTTTGTAAATACTGTTGGTTCTTGATTATGCAAGAGGCGAAGTGAAATAGTTGTCTCACAATTACTATGATCTCATTAAAGTCCATGGTGGTGAAAAAAAAAATTTAAAAAGATCCAGTAACTTTGAAGGCTTACAGTAATATCTGTGCATAAATAAGCAACAAAATAGTGGTTATGTGTGGGTTGTCCTGTTCTCTGCTTAATCTCTTAGGGAAAGCTGTTATGACAAAATAAATGGCACAGCATCTTCTAGTATTAAACTGTGTTTTGGGGTCTCCGGGTCTGGACACACTGTACAGCTATTTGACAGTATAACTTCAACTAACGTTAACATCAAAAAGTTCCTAGCTTGCAGTAAAACAATTTCACAGAACTTCACAAGAGAGCCCCAAATTCCTGAATATGCTGCCATTGCCCTCAACACAATGCCATAAAATAGCAGGCATTTTCTTGCTCATTCTGCCCAGGGTATGTGTTTAAGCAAACAAAATTTTATTTTAATCACATTTCTTGGGCAATACCATTAATAACAATTTCGTGTGGCTGTTTTTTTGCTAATTACAACCAACATGCAGGAAACTATGTAACTGATTCCTTTTGACTTTGTTGTATTTTCAAAGTAAAGGACACTACTTGCATTTAATTTGTAATTCACATCTAAACTGTGCTATAATGAGAGATTGTGAATCCCTGAACAAGATTTATTTAATTTTTACCTTTGTAGGAGACCAACCCTTTACCATCATTGACATATTTAATATAATAAGCCAAATGCATCTGTGGTAACTATAGATTTACCGCAGCTCCATAAATTTATGGCACACTGAAGATTTTTCTAAATGCAAGCAGATTTTTTATTGTTTTCTTCAGGTGTTGTGTTGGCATCCTTCTTGCCTTGTCCAAAGATAAACCATCTTGTGATCTTAAGTATGTTTACAAAAAATCACTCATGACAAAGATGAGAGCCAGACGTGGAAAATTAAATGATAGCTATTGCTGTGTGTCTGTTCTTCCTGCAAACCTTCATTTTTAGAAGGGAGACATAAAAAGGCCCTTGTTCTTTCTGGAGTAGAATCAAAAGAAAAATTCCCTTGCATTACATACTTTAGTGCACATTTAGGATTGACTATAAGACTGGTGTGTCTTTTTCCTAGTAAACTTTCTTTTATCTTAATGGAGTATTTTCTGGACAGTAGCATATAAAAGAGGAATAAAGCTTTCTTCTGTTCATCTACATAGCTTTTAATCAACATCAGTTGAAACTTAGAGAATAACATTTCTGAAGTCCATCTACCATGTGAAATTACAATTTCCTTGTCTCTTTCAGATCACACTATAGTGAACCCAATTCTTCATAATGTTTTAGTCTTTAAGAGATCAAACAGATTTTCAAGCCTGTTACTTTACTGAGTTTTCTCAATTATTACCTTCAAAATAACTGGAACTATTAGTTCATGGAATTTCATTTATTTATAGTCTGTGTGCCTAGTTTAATAAGGATTTTGTTTGTTAATTCACCTTTCAATAATCACACTATATTTCTTCTGAATTATACACTTATGCATATACATATACATACATAGTTTTACTCAGGCACATATAAATAGTATTAAAAAAAATCATAACCAGTTTTAAAATTTCACAGGTAGAGACAGAGAGAGATGAACAAAGCATTATAAAGCTGACCCACACTCGTGCAGCTGATGCCATGGGATGAATGTTGTACTGTGAAGACCATAGATGCAGTGGTGCTTCAGATTAAGGAATCTAACTGAACTATGAATGGATTTTTAATTTTTGTTGTACCTTTTTCACCACCTCCACCTTAACGAGAAATGATTACCCTGAAACTGCAGCAGAAGGAAAGAAGCCCTTAACTTTCCTGGGAGAAGTCACACCAACAGAGAAAAAATGTCCATCTGTGTTCATTTTAACAGCTGGTGCTCCAGCAGTGATAGAGCACCATAACAAAAGCAGTTACTTTTAACATCTACACCTGCTGCTACCTATCAACTGAAGAAGGCATTTTTAAACAGAAAGGAAGGATTTTCAGTATTTTTATTGAATAATCCAATTCTGTTCATTCACAGCTGTGTCTAAAACCATACTTTTTGGTGGAAGTAGACTTATGTTAACGAATTGAATGCTTTATGAACTCCCACCCAGGATTCCTGTATACAGGCTCTACAGTCAGCTACTCAGTAGAAGTCCTTCTTGCATTTATATGAAAACTCCTAACAATGAGTAGTGAGCTGAAAAACAGGCAATTTCTGCTTCAGTACTCATTTCTGAAATCATACCCAGCCCAAATCACTGAAGCCTACCTCTGCCAGTTAAATAGAAGATCAATGTATCAGAGTGTTTTAAACTAAATAACGAGAGAAATATAACTAAGATCACAGGAATTCATTTTAGTGTTGCATACAGTATACGTCCAAAATCGTGTCTTTTCAACATCCAGAAACTATGCATGGCTGAGAACTAGTGGATGAGATAAACTCCATGGAGTGTTCTTGGTAAAGAAGTGTGAGACCCCTCAACCTGTCAGCTCTGACCCTGCAGTCTCTTGGCCAGCATTGGCCATCAACCTGGCAGGTCACCCAGCCACCTCCTCCAGGCACTGCAGCCCTGCCTCCTCTCATGGTGCTGCCAGGGCTGTCTTACTCCTTTTGACTGCACTTTAGATGTGACAGAATAGAGCTTCGTGTGAAACAGCTAATTTAGAACACTTTTCTGTTGGTCTTTTTAGGCTCACTGACTGAACTTTATTTGATCTGATTCTATTTAAGCTGACCTGAGTTTTTCATTAAATCCTTTCATTTCTCTTTACTCCATCTTTTTCTACTATTTTACACATAACTAAAGCTGCATGAAAAGTGATTAAAATGATGCTATGGAAGGACTTCTAAAAAAATTAGTCAGAGAGTGAGCTCATTAAATAGTGAAACTCTATCTTATTGCTAGGCAATAAATTGTGAGCAGATTAATGAGCTCCTCTCATCAACTTTCTTAATATGGCAGGAATAAATGAACAGTTGGCATATTGACCTCTATTCAATGTCTCCCTCTGTCCCTCTGTTACAATATTCAGTAATAGATGAACCTCTAAAGATCCAGAGATTCAGTCCAGTTCAGTTCAACACCCAAACTGACTAGACTGAACTGAAATTTACGTGTGTGGAAAGTCTAGAGACCTGTCATAAGGACAGGCATTCTCCCAAGAAATTTCAGTTTGCTAATGCTGTCAGATGGAAAACAATGACTATTATTAGCCTTCAAGCACTGCCTAAGACAAAGATAAAGACACTGTCTACATCAAAAGACACTCAAAGTCATTAAACAGAGAATAACAGGATTAATGAGATGAACCAATGGAGTAACATGTCTTTGTGCTGCAGCCATGTTTTATAGCAAAGAAACTGTATTTTATATAATCACAGTATTTTTTAAGGAACCTAGTAAGTTCAATCTGCAAAATGGGATAATAGTTCCCCAATGACCCCAAAAACTGTAACAAATAACACGTTAAAAGTCTATGAGATTTTCAGTTCCACACAGATCTAGTAGGGGCCATAAAAACCACCTTAGAAAAGGACTATGGGCACTCCTGGGTGGGAAAATGCAGCACTCAGACATCAGTAGGAGGTCGGGAATGATACAAAAAGCTGAGATACTGCTCATGTTGTCAGGGCATCAGAGAACAGTTTGGTGTGTGGATAAAGCACAGCCAGCAGTCTAAATTGCCTTTAAGTTCTTAACTGTGCTATTCATGTAGCTAATTAATTATAGTTAATTAATATTACTGTTACTTAAGAATAGAAGCATACCCCAAATTGCATGATTTTTCTCAATCACATATAAATCTGCTTATAAAATTTCTTAGAGAATGTCACATTTTAACCATTGTCTGAAGATTGTCATAACTACAGAGTACTTTTATTAGCTGCTAAAGGAATTTTTAAAACCCCAGTAGATGCCTCTCCACAAAGACTTAAAGCACTTACTCTTTATATGGACAATTAAATTTCATCCTGACACTACAGCAGATGCAGTGTCTTCCTTTGCACTCAGAATGCTAACCTCACAGAAAGCTATGAAACGTCTTCAAGAAAATATTGCAAGTTTCATACCACTAGTTTAGCATCCTTTATGTGCATGGGGAATAAAAACCCTTTTAATCTATGAAGGATTTTGATTCAATTCCATTTTATATGCACGATATTAGTTAGACCCTATCTGCCTTCCTGCTCCCAAGCAGTTCAAAGTGCTGCATTTGTGAGCCAAAGAACAAAAATATTCACATGAGACCTAAAAAGCGTGACTCTTAATCTAGCAATGTCTTGTGAATCATCATTCTGAACAGCTCAGAGACCCAGA